CTGATTGGCCACGTCGGCAAAACTACCGTTTAAGTGAGGTCGCACCAAGCAACTCAACTGAGGCAAACTTCCCGGGCACGTGCAACAGCGGACGGAATTTCTCCTTTGCCGTAATTTCGGATTTCAATTACGTACTTTCCCCCTAATATCGACTGGTGCGGGGGTCAGGGCATCGACAAAAGGGCGCGCTTGGCCGCCTTGGATGACCGGAAGCGGGTCCCGACCGTGTACGTTAAGCCGTCCCGAGAGAGTGGGTCCCGGAGGTCTCAAGTCGAGTCCGGCGCTCCATCCACTTCCGTGTACGTTGAGTATAGCCGAGTTGAAATGACAAAGTTCCAATGCCGCCCGCGCACCGAAAGATTTGAAAACTTTCGTTAGCCCAATCATTCGAGTCATTACCTGATTGTAACGACAAATGCTGGCATGAACTTGAGCGGTTTTGTGGTATAAAGCATGTGTTGTCGCCCCTTTTCGCTAAAACCTGCAGTTCTTTCGTTTTCACCACGACTTTCAACCAACTCTTTTCAGCTTCAGTTTTTGAGAATTATATCAACAACAACAAAAACCGACAGTTTCTCTTGTATCTTCAAAGGCATACGTCCTCGTTCAATCCCTTCTGCTTCTATCCTGGGCCACGATTCACGTCGCATTATGCACATGCCCAAGATGGCGCTGAGCATCAGCATTGACAACCACTACACGTCCAAAATTTACACGTGCAACTCCAAGGTCTCTGGAACACTATCAGTTTGCACCCAAAGGGATACACCATTCGATTGCGTCCAAATCGCCCTCCTTGGCACTTCCCACACTCGGATCGATATGCTACCTGCTCCCAAGATCATCGATAACGATTTCCTAAGGCTGGACATGCCTATTCACGAGGACTCATACCCTTCAGGGCGAAACTTTCGTGCTGGGCAGACCTATCATATTCCGTTTGAATTCACAATCCCTCGCGCCCTATCCAGTGACGTTTGTCACGCCCAAACCCTATCGGAGTCCGGACACATTCAAGATCTCCACATGCGGCTGCCACCAACCATGGGTGACTGGGAAAAAGACGACATGTCCCCTGTAATGGCTAGAGTCGGATACTCTATCGTGGGTCGTGTGTTACAGAAGCGTGCTTCTGAGCCAGGTCACGCAACCGAGATCAGCCAGTCCATCAAAGTGTTCCCCTCATTCCCGGAAGATCCGCCTTTAAGCATCACTGAGCAAGATACCCGATACCGCCTGATTAAGACTAAGTACACTCGGAAGAGCCTGCTGTCGACACAAAGGGACCAGGTCACAGTGGTTATGGTTCAGCCGGCACCAGCAATCTTAAACATCGCTGGACAGCAACTTTCTCCGACTTCGGCGACAATGCACCTTGCTTTCAAATCGAACTCGACATGTGCAACACCTCCAGACATCAGTCTTGGTCAAACCAGGCTCGAGGCGATCAGCTGGTTTAGCGGAGCCCCCATCAAGACCCTCCCAGAACTTGGCGAGGCAAGAGACTCCACCGGCGTCAAGCAGGAGTTGAAGTACATCACTTCAACCAAACTGCCAACGACTGGTGTAGAAGTCAAATGGCAGCATGTTGATACTGGCGGACAGTCCTCTTTGTGGGAAGGAAGTCTAGAGATCCCGATCGCACTCCCAACCACCCACAAAATGTTCCTCCCGACTTTTTACAGTTGCTTCCTGGCCCGAACATACGTTTTGCACTTGTGTGTCATTGCAGCTGCGTCGGGTACGAAGATCAATCTATCCGTACCACTTCAGATCTCCGTGCAGGAGCAGAATGGAAAGGACCTCGAGGTGTCTGGCGATGATCTGCCAACCTTTGAAGCAGCTATCGCTTGGCGATCAGTACGTTGATGGATGGTAGTTGCCACAGAGATAACGAGACAATTGCAAGCGGAATGAAGAAGTCATGGGGATAGAAGGGACCGAACTGGCCTCGAGGATATGGACACAAGAGAGAGCTTGCCGGTGATCTATGATCAATCTTACGACGAAAGAATTAGCGACACTACTTAATATCATGCAATTGAGTTTTTTTGGTCATCTTTTTCCATGCGTAAACAAGATGCAGTATCATGCGGTGTGTATTAGGTGACGTTGTGGAGTACTAGGTACGTATGGGGTATTTGCTCGAAGAGGCGAGGGGTATTTGGAAGTGACGCGTGCAAAGCATATGGTACGTTAGAGCGTGAAGGTAGGTGCATATGGAGGGCCAATGCAGAAAAGGATCTCGGTCTCCCTAAGGGTACTGTTCGAGTCTCTCCTTGGACATTGCGCCCTCTTCGTTGGCCCTATGATGCACCTGGAATGTTGTGCTGACAGAGATAACGCCTGGATTATCCGATGTCGGTGTGACAGAGGCTCCTCGTCCAGAAGCACTCAACCGACCGGCCTCCTTGAACAGTTCCTCGTCCGAGTCATTGTCTCTGATCTGTGTTCCGCCAACTACGGTGGTTGTGAGGCGGCTGTGATGGGTTCGTCTGGTACCGATTGCGGCCGATGAGAGTTCGTAGTTCCCGTAGCGGTAGTTTGATGTGGTCCCGCGAGTCGAGGTGTGCCCGAGAAAGAGTGTTCGCAGTGCTTTACAGAAACATGTTAGTACGCTGATGATCAGATGATGGGTTAAGGGTCGGCGTACCTGGAAGGGATGCGGCAATGATCGCAACAGCTGTCTCGATCATAGACACAGTGCAAGTCAACATTGTCTCCATTTTCTTGGAGTAAAATGCTCGGATAACTGCGATTGTTAGATTGTAATCAAATTGCCAGGGCATGACGTCGAGGCAATCCAACTTACTGCTGGCAATGATGACGAAGAAACCGAGTGCGAAGATGGCGGCGACGCCAAGCTTCTGCTTCAACTTCATCTGCAGCTTGAGAACCATTGAAATTGGCAAGCTGATTGCTGGGTTTTGTCAGGAGGGGAAAAGTAGCAACACGATGTTCTTGACTTACTGGCAACATCGGAACCGATGTTTACTGCGGAGGGGTTAGCACAGTCCAAGCGTCGTCAAGACGATCAGTTGGAGGGGTTCTCACGCAGAATCGTCAACCAGTAGTTGATCTCAGCGTCCTTCGGATCGCATTGGTCTGCAGGATGTCAGTATCTCAAGTTCCTCGGTCTGGTTGTGCCTATTGTTAACTCACAGTTAGGATCCATTGACCATCTCTTGTCGTGCGGGTAACACTGGAAAATGATGTGGAAGAAGATAGTTGCCCAAGACGCCAAGAGCAGGCCTATCGCAACGTTGTATACGATCTGAAGTCTCGATGCTGGTGCTGCAATTCTTTTGTAGAAGATTACAAGTGCAACTTTGATGGCCCAAAGAGAGGTTACGTAGAGGATTGATCCAGGAACGATCATCTTTGTGTCACGCCTCGTCAGTTCAACTTCTACGCCTTAGGTCGCGCTAGCCGGTCGCGGGAGTCTTACCTGCATAATCTGAATAAACTCCTCTCTCGTGGCCTTTGGAATCTCAGCCATACCAAGATTCCACATGTGCTGCTGAATGATCAAGTCCCCGATGAGACAACATGTCGACAGTATCAGGAGGCCATCGTCGATGCCTAGAGCCTTGAACCTCCGAACTCGGACCCACAGCCTAAGGACCAGGAAAAGGGTTGCCGCTACAGTACAGATGTACCAGGAGATCTGAGTACTCAAACTGTCAGTACCAGAGAGTGGGAAAAGCCTCGCAACTTGAGCTTCAAAGAATGATCCCCAGCACGTGAATTTCACCTACCACTTGGCCAAGACCTTCGGCCATGACGAGCAAGATGACCGGTCCTCACGTCAACTTGTGCAGACAAGACAGAAGAGGAAGGGCGGTGGATGCCCCTCGGGTCTTATTGCTCGATCCACGAAAGTAGCTGGGCCACGGGGCTGTTCAGAGGCCCCCCTTATGCATCACGCTTGTTTTCAATTCAGCTTAGCCATGGTGCGACGATCCATGGCTTGTGCATTTCCTGCGCCTGTCAATCACCTCATGTAGGGATGTGGCGCACCACACAGCGCTAGGCAAGGTGTGGCCCTCGAGGGCAAAACGGTATCTGTCGAATCTGCATATCTCCTCCAGACTTGGGGCGAGAAGCGGGAATTCCGACCTAGCCTGTGGGATGAGCAACTGGTGCAACCCTCGCGGCCCATCTGGCAAATGCTGACGGGCAATCAGGTCCCAGGAATCGCCAGAGCATGAACCATTGGTTCCAGTCAATCGGATCCAATGAGGCCGAGAGACGTGGAGTGACCATATCAGGATTCTCGTGATGTTCAAGAATTAGTGCCAACAGTAGCGTAGGCTGAAGTTCGCCGGTCCCGCTTGTTCCGCCGCCGAGGCAGGGGATCTAACAGGGAGTCAACATGGGGCCATGGACTCTGCATGCTTCGCGGCATTATTGATTTCTCGAGTCCCTCTGCCGGTGGAGACAGCCTGGAGCCGCTAGGGCTGGCTGGTTGAGAGCGTCAGGGGAGCGGCGCTCTGCAACGTGGGAGTTGACAAGGTCTACCAACGTGTTTTGCACATGGGAATCAGGATCTTGGAATTCTTCAACATCGAACCGCGCACGGGATTAACGCCGACAGAGCCGGCTGTGGAGCTTCGCCGGTGAGATGCGTGGGCTTTCTTCGGATGAAGCTCAAGAAAACGACCCTGATCCCAGCCTGCCCAGCCCAACATTAAATGAGATTTTCGGAGAAGGCGACCTTTTCGTTCTCGATAGCGCAACTGTCAGCACAAAGAGCCCCCTATGGGCGGAGTTGACATGGGGTTGAACCCCTGGCGTTCTGTGGTTCCCTCTCCACTTCAGCAAACCATCGCCATCTGTCTGCCCACATCTGTCTTCGTAAGGGTCTCATCAAAAGGGAAAAGAGCATCGCTCGTTATTCATATGAACTGCATGGACGCCCTCAACAGCTTGGACTACCTAGTTGTCCTCCCACCTTCCGCATGCACCTCACCGATCGTCGTCAACAAAGTGAGTGCATCATGGGACTCGTCAATGTCTTGACAACCGGCGCAAGCTTGGTCCTGACGGTGGCCTCTGTCTTCCCTCACGCGGCGGTGGCTGCATGTGCCAACATCACCAGGCCCACAAGCGTCGTTCTTCCTCAGGGAAGGATCAAGGGCTTTCGTGATGATTCTCGCAATGCGGTGTTTTTGGGCATCCCCTTTGCGGCGACGACAGGTGGGGAGAATAGGTGTGTCGATCATTGCGATTTTCGACTTTCAGCTGGACTAACGAAACTTTCAAAGATGGAGAGCGCCTCAGAATGTTCTGCGGTCAAACGCGACCTTCGATGCGACGTCATACGGCCCAACATGCCCTCAGGCCATCTCCGGCACTACATTCAGCCAGCAGGGGGAGGATTGTCTGAACTTGAACATCTGGTCTCCTCCGAACGGAAATGACCTGCCCGTAAGTCGGATCGAGAACCCACAGGTTTAGTAATTGGCTCCAAGACTGAACAATAATGCGCGCAGGTATTTGTCTACATGTACGGCGGTGCTATGGTGACCGGCTCCAACAGCAATCCTCAGATCCAGGGAACCAACTTCGCTCGCAATGGAGTCGTTTACGTCAACTTCAACACTCGCGAGAGCATCTTCGCCTCTCCACACTCTGCGGAGTTGAAGGATGCCAACCCTGAAGAGTCCCAAAACTTTAGCATCCTGGACGTCGAGAAAGCCCTTGATTGGATCCACGAGAATATCCGGGGTAAGCAAGCATCTAAGATCTCACATGAGTGGCCAATGCCAATCAAAGTGACACGAGTCTAACGCCAGACCAGCATTCGGAGGAAACCCCGACCACATCGTCTTCGGTGGCCATTCCTCTGGCTCAGTCCAGGTCGATCACTACCTATGGAACCACCCGGACTCTTGGCTCAAGGGAGCTGTGCAGATGAGCGCCAACGCCATGTCCGGTCCTGCCTACGCACCCGTCAACGAGGCCCTTGACGCCGTTGCTACCGAGGTCGGATGCCCTGCTGGTGGCGACGGCCAAATCGATTGCCTTCGCGATGTCGACGTCTACGCTTTCCAGACCACCAACTTCAACTCGACCTTCAACACTTGGTTCGCTCCTGTCATTGACAACATCACCCGCCATTCCGACTATGCTGCTCGTTTTGCCGCTGGCAAGTATGCTACTCACGTGCCGCTCCTTACTGGTACCTCTAATGGCGAGGGTACCATCTTCAGTCTCGTTTACGGCGCTGAAAACACGAACTTCAGCTCCTGGATCAACACATTCGATGCCGACAGTGCGCACATCGAGGATGCTGTTCTGATCGAGGCATACAACGCTTCAGCCTATGGGACCGAATCTCTCCGTGGCGGTGCCCAGTACGGCGACGCTCGCTTCAACTGCGCCGTAGACTACCTCCAGGACCTCCGCAGTGCCGCACAGGACACTTGGGTCTACCGGTTCTTCGGCGCCTATGACAATGTCGTCGGAGTTCCTGGCACTGCTCCCACTCATGGCACTGAGGTCCCCTTCTTCCATGGCGGCAATGAGTGTTTTGAGGCTCTGTCTAACGTCACCGAGGCCCAGCAAGCATTGGCTGACTCTATCCACGGGTGGTTTGTGGAATGGATCAAGAACCCCGCTGCCGGTCCTGGGTGGGACAAGGTTGCTCCCGAGTCGGGAGCCCTCGTCAAGCTTGGCGTCCCCGATGATGAGCTGTCTCGCATTAATGGTTCTACAGACGAGTTCAACCAGCGTTGCCAAAATGTGAGTTTTCTCCGAAAACAGATGTTTTCTGATCGTTTCCTAACAAGATGTCAGGTTTACAAGCTCGCCTTCCCGAAGTACCCTGTCATTCAGTCAGTCAACAAGCTGTTGTGATACGTCTCATAAAGTATCTGCTTGACTCTTGTAATCGGTATTTTCGCGACAAAATGTTGTCATACCTATGTGTTGGCATCGTAATTTCCCTAGACGTCAACTTGAACTTCCATCACACGTGTCCAGTGTGACCATTTCCTCTGTTTGGCATGGGACTCAAGCCTCCTGACCGTTTGTCCAGCCACCTCGCCACGTCTTGATTTTGCCACCGCAACTGAGCCTCAAAAGAAACAGCAGCCGCCGCATGATATCTGAGGCCAATGTATCAGCATTCGGTAGCAGTCATTACGTCGGGGGGATGAGAGAACGGGATCAGGAGGCGAGTTGGGATGAAGCCAAGATAAACCAAGAGTCTCGCCGTCAAATTGGGCGTGCGTGTTCCGTGAGGCTGCAAAAGCTAGATATTGTCTTAATTAAGCCCGTCAGCTCGCCCGGATCCCAGTGGCGCATTCACTCCCATGTTTTAGTCGTGCGAATCAGGCGCGTGAGTTCGAGACAACGCCGGAAGGGTCTATATGGGCGACAAGAAATTAGCACAAGTTTGAAAGCGCATAGAATGTAATAATATCACAAGTTTGCCAATGAGAAAGCGAGGAGACATAAGACGAAAGCAGCCGAGACCAGTCAGCCGGATGTACATGATCCTATAAATTATGAGCCGCTGACCTTTAGTGCCTGACTTTGGTCTTTCCTCATCTTTCTTTCTCAAACACTCGTCATTATGCGACAAAAGATTCCAGTTCTCACCTTTGCAATTATCTTGCTTAGCACTTCAGTGTTAGGTGAAGACAACGAATCATGCTATTTTCCGAGCACAAGACGCGCTACTGGCGGTATACCATGTCCTGCTATGGGCGATAATGCTGCCAAAGCATGCTGCATGTATGGTCACTATTGCTTGAGCAATCGCTTGTGTCTTGAGCCTAATTATTGGACCTTATATCGACACTCCTGTACAGATGCCAGGTATGAAGCCTCTGGTTGCCCGAGGTTTTGCTTCAATACAAGTAGCAGTGGACAAGAAGCTTCAAGTAAGTAATCATGGCCATGGTGGTCAAGTTGTCAATAAACTTTTGACACGAATTCGCGCTTGCTCATTAAACCAACGGCTAACAAACTTTGACCAGCTCTTGATGACCTTAGTGGTGTTAACTTTTGCGGACCCAGACAATGGAAATGCAACACCAGAGTCCCGTGTAAAACGAGCAATTTCTCAATTTCAAATATGGGAACCATCATGCCCAACAGCGCTTAGAAGTCGCAACTTGGCCTCCAAAGCGGCATTTTTGAGAGCGGCGTACCTGAGAGCGGCATATCTGTCGGGGCAGCGGTTGGTATTGGGGCCGGGGTAGGAATTCCTCTTGCAATCGTCGCTGGAGTCCTGGGGATATTGCTTCTACGTCAGAAAAAAAAGGACGAAAGCTGTCAACCTTATTTCAGCACATTCGACAGCAGAAGCCACTTCTCCCAAACCAAACCAGTCGGCTACGGCTTCGCCAGCCCCGTGGCGGGAAAGTCATCTCTCTGGAAGGGGTGAACAACAAACAGCGGAGTTGCCGCTGGAGTTCACCGTGAGACATGAGCTTCCTCAATAAGTGAGGCCCGAAGAAGGCTAGAGGAGATTTACATCACAGCATTGTGGCTTGAAAGGAAATTACTGACTGAAAAATGGCCTTTCCATGAAGCCGAGTGCATTCACAACGTATCAAGCTTCTTGCACGCGGAAAATCTAAAGCTACCAGATGCCGCATAATGAGTTTGGACGGATGTACGCAATAGTGCATAGCAATACACCAGCCAATTGACTTGAAAAAGAAAACATTCTTGTCGCTTATCTTGAGTCGCAACTGGCTTCTTGGGTGTGCTCATCGAATCAAACTATGGACATGCGAAAATGTTGAGTTGCGCAATGGGTCGGACATAGTAATTGACCGACGTCCAGCAAACACCACGGATGCTAGCCTTTTGTAGGCGAAATAGTAGGAGTTATCGACGGATGCGCCTGAGAAGCGAGCATGGGAATAGAGCTGGAGCAGCAAGTGTTGCAAGCTTCCAAACCATTTCACAGGCGGGAAGACGAAGGGCGAGGCTTGAAGGACGGTTTCGCTTCCCAACCCATCATATCGGTCAGGATTGACGCGAGGTTCTTTGCGCTGCGTCGCCGAAATCCATGCATCGTATCGACCTGTCAAACCACACTCGGCTGCAACGGTGGGCTTGGCCGGGGGCGAATCAATTTCAATGTAAGCAACCAAGACACAGGAAACTCGATTTTGAGAGATGAGTGGTTGCTGCCACTGGAAGTGACGAGCCAGTGAGACAAATCTGCAGGGCCAAGGCTCGGACCTCGTACAAGAGCTGAAGATAGTTTGACGACTTCCTATTTCCTAATCGGGCAACACACAAGTCGATGAAATACGACGAGTGAGACACAGTCGGCAAGTCAGCCTAACCGCAGTGGCCGGGTTTTGCGACATGACATTTAAAAAACCGAATTCCAATACTTCGCTACGTCAGCATCACACAGCGGCCCATCCCTCTTCATCGTGAATATGCACCGGCCCGCCCTTAGACTTGTCGAGCTTCTGACGTTGGTGGCATCAGCCACAGGCGAAACATGCTACTTCCCAGATGGCTCGGTTGACCAGGGCGGCATTGAATGCCCCAAGATTGGAGACAATGCCGCGGTCGCGTGCTGTCGCAAGTCCAACCACTACTGCCTCGATAACGGACTCTGTCTGGAGCCGAATGCGTGGACGATGTACCGGAACTCCTGCACAGACAAGAACTTTCGAGCGGCCGGATGCCCCAAGATTTGCCGCGATGCTGGTAGGTTTTCCCCTTGCAGAACCATGGCTCTAGGCTGACTTTTTCAGCATTGGGTGGACACACCGGGGTCAACTACTGCTTCCAAGACGCCATCTGGACATGTCGCGGACGGAACGATTGCGACAAGGGAAACTTTACGATGCCGAGTCCTAGAGGGAGGATGTTGATCAACACGGCGTTGGAATCCGATCTCGGAATCGCGGCGGCGACGAGCGCCGGGCCCAGCGGCACCTCCATCGCGGTGTGCTCAACGACGTCAGAAGCCAGGCGCGGAGTATCTACAGGAGCGGCAGCGGGCATAGGGGTTGGCGTTGGACTTCCGCTGGCTATTGCGGTTATGGCGCTGACGGTCTTGCTTCTGCGAGAGAAGAAGAAGTCGAGAGCCGCGGGGTTAGATGGGATGACGACTGCCGGAGGTTCTGAATCGTCACCCGCGCCGGTGTGGGCTAAGCACGAATATCCTGGAGGCTTTGTGCAAGCGAACCGACCTGGATATGGGCAGCAGCCGACAACGGAACTTCCTCCGGACCCAACGGTTCGGCATGAGCTTCCCCAATAGTGGACGGTATGATGGCAGGTCTAGATAAGAGCCATGAGTAAAGTACATAACTTGGTGCCGCCAATCCCGAGTAACTAGGCGAGAGACACAATGGAGGTGAGGCTTCTGTATGTACATAAAATGGAGGAGTAGACAACAGCCTTGAACTTTGAACTTTTGTGTTGAGGAAGTTTCATAGCCCACCCTACAAGAGGGTCCACAGTAGATAAATCCAGTAAGAGCACTTTGGCTGGTGCTTTGTCTAGTAAGAAGATCGCAGTACGTACCTAGGGGCCTGGAATAACTGCCTACGCTGAACCTGACTGTAGTTGCTTATTGTGGCTCTCAGTATTATGTTAATAATAGCTTTGTTACTAGTAAGGTTAATAGCTTCGCCCGCGTGACTTACTGCGTAGAGATGGCCTTATAAGGTCAGCTATATAAAAGCTTATCTTAGCTATACATTTAAGATGCTACTGCTTGCGTTAAGCTGTAAGCCTATTTTTTGTTATATAAACTACTTAAATTCCTATAATTTATAAGCAAACTACTTAGATTTCTTTATAATATATTCTATTCTGCTTAATCTATAGGGCCTCATATTATAAGGCTAAAAAGTGTAAAATATCTAGTAGAATATATATAAATAGGTAGATAAATCTTTACTTAAGGTACACCTTAAGATACTAGAATTAATACTAACTGTTATAAGCTTTTCTACTCAGGTTAGCTAAGTATATAAATAATTATATACCTATAAGGACTCTTAATATGTTAGACGTAAGAGTTTAAACTTTATAAGTATAAAAAGATATCTTTTTTAAACTATAAAATATAAAACCTAAAGATTAATTATATTTATATTTTTATTATTATTATTTACTTTATTTATATATAGTTTTAGCTACTCTTATTATAGCCTCTAGCGAATAAGAAAACTATAATAATTAGTAATATAACTTAATATCTTTTTCTCTCATATAACCTTTCTTTTCTATAATTTTATTATTATCCCTGATGATAGTTATAAAAAGATAATATAAAATTATAAAATAATTTTTAGATTAATATTTAACTTTAAAATATAACCTTAAGATTTCACTATAATATTAAGTTTTTTAATATAACTTATAGGAAAAAGTAATAAAAAAAGTTTATAAAAATAACGCTTAGTACTTAATATTTATAACTAACTATTTAAATTCTCTAATTTCACTATTTTTTAGTAATATTTCTCCCTTTAGTAATAAAAATCCCCCTCTAGAAACCTAACTACTTAGAAAAACTATAATATTAAACTTAAGATATTAAGTAATAGCTAAAAAGTTATAGACTTTTTAATAAAATTATTATAACTACTAACATATTATTAGCTTTAATAAGAGATTTTATAACTAAACTATGATTTTGTATCTTATTAATCAGAGTAATAATAATATCTTTTTTATTAATATAGATAATAAAATATAAAAGAAAAGGTTTATTTAGAATATAGATAGATATTTTACTACTATAGCTATTAATAATATATTTAATATTATTCCTAATATATAAAAATCCTTAACGCTAAAAATATATTTCATTCTAACTTTTTAAAAAGAAGATAATCTTATACGTAATAGTAAATTCGCTT